TATTCATCCCTGAAAAAGGGGAGAGTACATGGCGCAAAAATTCATATCTTATTCATCCCTGAAAAAGGGGAGAGTACATGGCAAAGGCACCAAGGCCAAGGCGTTTGGTCGGAGCATCTCGCCGAGAAGGCGAGCCCGCGCTCGTCCTCGGTTGGGCGACGAGGCGAGGCTAACATGCCTAGGCGGGCTAAACGTGGGCATGGCCCCGTATGGGCAAGCACAAGCACCCCGGCAACGGCCGTTCGGCCTCCTAAACAATCGCGGAAATACAATCAAAAGACGAAGCAAAACGATAAAGGCATCACAAACCACGAAGAGTCAAGGGTGATAGTTGCGCGGTGCAAAATACATGGTTCGAATGCAGAAACAAGCGCAGAAACATTACATCAAAGAAAAGAAAAACTAAGGGTGGAGTTCATCGGTGGGCCCAGCCGCGTTCAGTTACCGGCGGTGTCCTCGCCCCCGCCATTGGCGTCCTCGTCCTCGGAGTAGTAGATGGATGAGTCAAACTCCTCAGGGTCCTCGCATGGCTTCGGGAGTTCCTTCCCCTTTCGGATCCGCTCGAGCAAAACCTCTTGAGCCCGTTGCAGCCCCAGGGAATAGTTGGTTTGCCCTTCTTTGAGAAGGAGACGCTGGCCGGCCGGAGTTTGAGCCCAGATCTTCAAAAGATCGTCCATGCGGGAGAGAGCCGCCTCATCGAACGCAGGGGAGGTCTGAAAGGCCTCAATTACATGCTCGGCTTCCTCATCAAGACGGCGCGCCTTCTCCTTAGCAGCAATGCGGGCCTGCTCCACAACTCGAGCCCGCTCCTCCGCATCAGCGAGCTTCCCCTCGAGGCCAGCCACGTGCTCCTGCAGCCTCCGAAGCTCCTCTTCGCCCTTGGCCTTCTCCACCACATACCACTCGAAGCGCTCCACCAGCTCTGGGGCGCGCATGGCCACCTACAACAGCAGTGAAATTCCGGCAAAATTTGTTAGAATCCATCTAAGTGTCGGGCAGAAACGCACGGCATACCTGAGCAAAGAATGCTTACCGAGCCTAACTCGAGCAAGAGAGTGGAGGCGAGGTCCTGCATGGCGGCCGAACTAATC